CTGCAGATAGTGAGATTAACAGTAACAATATTTTGTCTCTATCTGCTATTCTGCAATTCATCTCATGTAAGCAATAACGTGGCGCACAGCGTGACGTGAAAAAAGGCACATACCTTTGAAGTTGCGTGACAAACTCTGTATTCCTCGTCCACACGTAAACGAAAAAAAGGAGTTTTAAAAAAATCTCAGTTTTCGGTGATTCGAAACGCCGTTTACGTGTGGACGAAACAGCTGCGTTTTCAAAAATACCCGTGTAGGTGCGGACGTAGCGTAAAAGTTAGTAGTTTATTTTCATTACTACCTGTCATTTATTGCAGTTTACTTGTATTTGCTTAATTGTTTACTAAATGTTTGAGGTGTGAAATAAATCGCAGTGGAGCAAAATATGGGTGTGTGTGGTTGGAGGATGTGTTTGTGCGTGCACGCGGGGGGGGGGCAAACATTTTCTTGTAAAACAAAGGGGGGCCTAGCAAAAAGAAGTTTGGGAACCACTGCCATGAGGCAACATTTTGCCCTCTATGTTTTTTGTTTTCTTTTTTGTGATTTTTTTTAGAGTGTTGAACATTTTCACCACTAGAGAATCTTTCATATGAAATGTATCCCTGAAACAAAATGGGACACTTGCTTAACGTCCTAGAACATTAAATATTCAAGTAGTACACACAAGCACTCAGTAACACAATGTGTATAACTTTGACTACCCTATTAATAACATTTAAAAAAAAGGAAAACACAACAGATTTTTAATCAATAGCTTTAAACCACCAACTGTTACTAGGCAGTTGGGTTAGTTTCTATGATTGTGAGGATTAGCAATACAATTAAATTTTCTCATGGGATTACACAAAGCTCTGTATAATCAGCTATTAAACTGTTCTCACAAGTCTTAGTCGATTAATTGTAAAAAAAAAGAAAAAAAAAAGAGCATATCTAAGAACATTAGCCACACATTAGGGGTAACAGCAGTGCACTCCATGATCTAATGTTATGTTTTTCTTTTTTCATTAAACTGTAATGTGAAGCAGTATTTTTCAATAATGTCTGCCTGCAAGAAAAGCACATGCCAAATAACAAACATACCATTTTCTCATGGAGTTTAGTTAAAATTGAAGCTTTTTTAAAATAAATAAATAAATAAAAATAAAATAAGGGTGAAAAGAAGAAAATGATGAAAACAGTTTTTCCAGAATTTCTTCCCTGCAGCAGCTCTACATCCCTCTGTAGCAGACAAAAGTACACAAACACAGTTTGAAGTTCTGGCGTTCTCTCCAGTGCAAATCTCCTGCCATCTGATGGGGTCTGATGCAAATGCATTCACGTCTCTCTCTAGTCTGCTCCACTCCAATCTACACACACACACACACACACACACACACACACACACACACACACACACACACACACACACACACAAACAGAAAGCCTGGACTTCACAAGTAACTATTTACTGTCATCTCCTGCTATACCACACCTGCCACCTGCACCTGTCCACCTCAGCCTTGTACTACGAAGCCTGTTTAAGATACTCAGGATGTCTGTTTTTGTTATCTGGCTTCAGGTAACCCGACATAATGAAGCAGGCTAAGTCATCACATAAAGGTGGTTATCAGCACAATAAGTAAACCCAGGGTTTCCCATTCTAGCTAGCTCTGCAGGTTTACAGCACAAAAAAGTATTTTTGCATGCTTGCAGCCAACAAAGGAGAAAGTGTAACAGTGGTATTATTCCACTTGCCACAAATGTCAGTGTAATGGGGAAACAGCGCCCCGCCTCTCGGTGTGGCTGGTTAGGTGAGGCTGGCTGCAGTAATCGCTGCCAGTCTGCCGTAGCCATACGAGAGGTGAGTTGTATTTACCGCACACAATGTAGCTAAATAGTACAGACACATAAACCATGTATGATGGACACCGAGTGTAATAAGTGCTTAGTGGACACATGTGCAACATCAGTTTTATGTACTTTTCATTTGTTTATTAATGTGTGAAACTGTATGCTAAAGGGGAAAGCTAATGGGATGTTCTGTGCGGGATGTAGTGTGCTGTGCGGAGTGGTGTGTGGCGAGCCCTTTGCACTGATACAACACCGTTGTTTGCATTCAGGAAATAAACTGGCAACGATCGATCAGAGACTCCTTGTCTTCTTAAAAACACAACACAACGCAGAGTCGAGGTGTCTGTTTGGGCCGAGCTGTTGCAGCGGGGTGAAGCAGAAACTGGTTACAAAAGCAGCAAAGCAAAAGTTAATGGATGAAGTTCAATCTATATAATTTAATACTCACAGGGGAAAACTTTAGACACCACTTAAAAACTTTAGACCTTAGTCCTAGGGATCTTACAGGAATGGACATCTGATTGATCAGTGGTTGATATTTTCATGCCTTTTGATTTCCAATCTTGAACATAACTTGAAGCATGGAGATGCAGCTGGGTATGGAGGGAACCACTTCCTTAGTACTGAAAACCCATGGACAACCTTAAAGTTACCTGAAAAACCCAAATCCAGCTTCACAGAACAGGCCACAGTTGTACTCACTAAATTCCTGCTGCAACCAATTATATCATCAGTCACCTGTGTGCACACCTGGTTCCCATTATTTCATGAATAATATTAATAGTGCCCAGCAAATATGCATGCTTTGCCAGATTATCTAGGCTGCCCAGAAGACAATATTTATCCTGCTCTTCTTTTCTGTATTTGAGACCACCTGCCTGGGCCTCACAAATGTCTGCCAACACTAGCCTTTTGGTTCTGTTTGCCACTTTATACTGTGTCTGTGAGCCTGCTGATCCACCAAGCTTAGTTTACCAAACCTGCCTTCTCTTCTGCAGTCTGTTCACATCCGGTTAGCAACATGCCCTTACACATATTTTTCAATATATGAATTAAAAGTTGCATTTCAATCACAAAAGATTTGAAATTTGATTTACCTTGCACTTATCCATGCATTAAGAACATATTGTTTCTGACAAAAAATTATACTAAGTGAACAAAATTAGTTCAGGATTGCAAATCATGTTGTTTCCTGTTCTGTTTCCTAGTTGAATAGGAAATCATGCATTTTACAAAAGAAATTTCAGTTGTATTTTGACAAAAAAGCAATTATACAAGTTTGGGAAAAGCTCGGGATGAATCATACTAGTGAATGTGGCCCTATTTTTTCCCTGAATATTTTATTGTGCCACAGTAACACACAAAAGATCTAGTTTATGTTTATGTGACATCTACCATGCTTCTTTGTGTATGAGCACACTCTGTCCTTATGCAAGCATGTTAGTGCTTGACATGGCCTAAAGAGAGTACTTCAATTACACATGAATGAACCAACAAACATAAAGAGCAGCACTCTTACTTTGGCCCTCTTTTCAACCATCTCATAAAAAATTACACAATAAAACTCAACCAGAGCCTCTCAGATGCAAATACTTGGCTGACAGTACCAAGTAAGCAATTTCTAAAGTGCTTTGTTGTCTTAGTGATGTGAAACATTTACGTTCTATCATTTTAATGGAGAATCAGTAAATCCAGCTGGAAATTATTTTGAATTTTACCTTTAAAAACACTTTTAGCACCCTGATCAGCCTGCTGGTGGGAAAACATAAAAAGGGAAAGAAAAAACGAAACAACTCTAAAATCAGATTGACAGCGATGTTTGCCAGAGAAATGCGACTACACTGGAAATTAGGCAGTAAGTACCAAGACCATGAAATGACTATTTTCAATATCCACCAGGAATAAATAACTAAAATGGAGGTATTTCATATAAACCTCTCAAAATGAAAGGGCCCCAGTAAAATTGCAAGTTTTATCACGCCAAAATTTACTAAACTATCAGCAAAAGATAATACATTTCATGTTGAGAAAATTAACCCAAATTCTAGTTGTCCTTTGCTGTCTTGCCTCCAAAACTTCAATCCAATGCGATAAAACCACATTTCCTGAGCAACTCAATCTCCCAGTGTGGCTTGAAAATATTTTCCCGAGAGCATTTTTTCTGTCTTATTCATTTGTTTATGCATAAATGCATTACATGCCAGTCTACCATTGTATACAGCGTTGTTGTCCACTTTTTAATTTGAGCTTTTATTTATGTTACAAAAAACACTTTAAAAAGGAAGCCTAATTTCTGCTATTTAATACCTAAGAAATATCAACTTTCACAGATGGTTCCAAAATATGCCAAACTGCAAAATGCATAGCTACGTCTTGACTAAAGCCTCTGTAACTTTGTTCTGTTTCATTTCAGCAGCATGAATCAGTCTGAAATGAAAAATATATATACTCTTAGTGTGTTTTCACATGTTATATTAATTGCATGTTCACTCACTATTTCCCATGATGATATAATATGCTTCCTTTGGTACTTTTAGTAAAAGCTTCTTTCAGCCGCTCCCTTATTCACAGAGGGTCGACACAGCAGATAGCTCCGCATATTTGATTTGACAGATTTTTTTTCACCGGATGCCCTTCCTGACACATCCCCGAAGGGATTTGTGTCCAACCAGGGACTTTATGTGTTAGGCAAATGTGTAAACCACAAGACTATGGAACCACAATCATACCTTTGGCACTTTCAGTATAATAGCCATATTTTCAGAAAATATGGCTTTGGACAGCTAAATATTGGTTCTTGTGACATCTCTAGTCTGTACAGACATGTGTGTACAAGGAAAATCTGAAAAAACAGAACACGGAACAAGCATGTGGGCATTACTGAATGGTCTCAACATGATTTTGGATCCTTGGCTTTGCTTCGCTTCAGCAAGATTTCAATCCAACATATGTAGACCAGTTTCATAGACAACACTCATTGCTTCCATCATTACTTTCACCATCTAAACATAAAAAAGGACACAATTTTTTCTTGTAGTGGCCCACTGTGCCACTATGCTATCCAGTCAGTGTTTTAATTACTGTATTACTGTACCTGTATCACTGCGTTCAAAAGGTTGCACAAACAAAAAGCTTGTGGAATTGAAAACCGCACGACTGTTTGGGCTTACCTTAGTGTGGAGCTTGGACAACTGCTTTTCATCCAGGTAGGTCTGAGTGTAGACACGTCTTTTATAGCGGAACTGAAAAAGAAGAACAAATATAAGAGGCTCTTATCTCTGTTTTGCAAAAAAAATTAAAGTTATTAACTAAAATTGTCATGCAGCATCATCTGCTTAGCCTAGCTTGTGTAAAATAAATTATTTTCTATTAGTTGGTCCTATGAAATAGAAAGTGAGAGCAGAAACAAACATATTTGGACTTATTTAAAAACTTTCAAAGTCATTATGAAATGAAATTTCTATCTGCAGCTTGCTGTCATCTCTTTCCAGCACTCATGTCATGTTTGTCATATATTACATCTTGCTTGAAAACCCAAAAACTGTGACTTGGAGCTTGAATATGAAACATAAATAGCTTTAAAAAAAAAAAAGTCTTCCAATATCAGCTAAACACCTCATGTATAGGAAAAGCACAAAAAAGACATTTTCACCATTTTTAGATAAAATATTTTCTACAGCTAGAAAATCAGATTAGAAAAGAAAAGCATAACAAAAGTTGAACTTGAACTCTGAAGGCAACCAATCAATACATTATGTAATAAAAAGTAGAAAATCTGACAAAATAAAAGTCAAAAAGTAACTACTTGACTTAAGTATAGCAGATAAATAAGTATAGCTGTACACAGAAAAGGCGATAAAGACAACTAAAATCACACCTGACAACTCCTCACAATCCTCCATGACAAGATAATAAATTAAGACCAGGCATATAAAATGAGAATCCCACAGAAGATGACTTTTTCAGAAGCAGAGCAAGAAAGTGGTCAGCAATTTGGTCGGGATCCTTGTAGCTTAACAAATATGAGACAAAATATAGCTTTTTAAAAGAAAAAAATGTATACGTTGGAGAAAGTGTGCTAATTACATGGCTTGGCATATATAGAGTACAACCAGCTATTTATAAAAGAAATGACGAATGCACGAAGGTGCTTAACCAGAAAATGTTCCAGCAGCAGATGAGGATGTGAGCACAACTATTTCAACTATTTCAGCACGTTTCCTAATATTATAACAAAGCTTCTTTGTTTTGTTTTTTTATCATAAAGAAGACAGATCCAAGGCACAAGTGGTCTAGTAATCAGACAATAGGTTAGAGATGTGGCAGTGGTGAGTTCAGGTAGCATGATGACTTGAGCTTTCACTACTGCAAACTAATTCATCAAGCTTTCTGCCTCTACCATCCAACTTTGGTCAGCAGCTTTACCGGAATTTGTCAAAAGCCAGATCATTCATTAGGTCTGATGCAAACTGCTTGTTTTGTAGAAAGGTTTCACTGAACACTGACAGCCTGTAATAGCTTTAAAACTTTGCGACTTTCACTGCCCAGGACTCCATGTATTTCAGGTCTCTTTGTGCTTGTGTGTGTACGTGTGTGCATGTCTGCTTCTCCAGCGATGTGTGGCATTCACCAACAGAGTAAATCCACAGCAGAGCACAGGATTTTCAGCCGCTAATCCGAACCTGTCAATCTTCTCTACACCCAACATGCCTAAGGGAATAACTGCAGGTCAATACATAGTGTTCTGGCAAAGTAGCAGCAGACACTTGTGCACACACAAGCTGATCAATCCACGCCTATTGAGCTAAATTGTAAGTTTTAGGAAGTACAACCACAAATCCAGATAGAATTAGATACAGTACAGACTAGACAAACAAATGGACAAATGGCACTGACAACTTACCCACCCTGTCAGCTCTTGCATCATTTTGCCTCTTAAATTGTGTAACATCCTAAATGCTGTGTAGAATGAATGTTAAGGGGTTTGGTAAAGGAACCTAACTGGTAATGCCATTGCAGAAAATTGTGTTGTTGTTTTTTTGTGATAAGCTGTGACTTCTGTAGAAGTATATGAGCTAAAACTGAGAATTTTAGAGAGAGGGTAGTAGAAAGTGGAAACAATAAAATGTGTAGACATAGTCTAGTAGAACTCCAAAATCAACGTAATTAACTTTAAATGAGGATTATTCATCCTTAAGCTGAGACATTACACAGTCTCAAGCTTGATTTGCAGTCAAGACTCTAGAAAACTAACATAGCTAATTTCATAACAAAGTTTTATAACAAAGTAACGAGACAAAAAATTCTTAATGTTTCAGGGAAGAATTTACTCTTTGGTAGATCTTTATTTCGCTTTATTTCAAGCTCTTGACATGTCACAAAATCACTGAAAACAAAGGCAGTCAGGAAAAAAAAAAAAAGAAAACCTAGCCGTCATCTTTACACCCTTGTCTGTTAAACAGTCTCTAATTCTCTCAGATCAAAAAGCTTGATGGACAAGCACTGCAATTATCTTTGAGAGATGACAGCTGCAGCAGACAATAAACTGTCACTGACTACAGCATTATTGCCATCGGGTTTGACTGGCACATCAGAAAAAGCATACATCACACTTAAAATGATGCAGACACATGCATCCAAATGTCGCATCAGCCTGCATGTGAAGCATAAACACACATATAGACATACGACTTTTGAACAACAATGAGTTGTAATATGACTGACAAATGACATGGTGAGAAAAATGATAAGAGAAACTATTACACTGGCCTATAAACTGAATCACGCTGCCATGGGAACAAGGACCCCTCCCCGAAAAACCACAGGTGCAAGATGCTGTATTTATTATTAGGTTAAAGGGACTATGACTAAAAACACATTCATCAATATGCTTTAAAAAACAGATGTCTACAGTATGCTAGGATAAAACCTATAAAATATAACGCATCAGTATTTATATAACATCAAAACAACAGTGCACTAAAACAAAGGTAAATTAAACAAAAACTATGTGCTGTATATGAATGAATCAGCACTGTGCGCAGGCATAGTGACACTGGTGTGCAGTGTTGGCCCCTATTATGCGAAGCAAGCACCTCTCACTGTTGTGCGAGTAGCAAGATTCAGCTGCTGTGAAGTTACTGCAGACTGGAATGATTAGGTTACTCTAATCAAACATGAAGTGTCTTAATAAGCTCAGGTTTCAGTTATCCAAATGTTGTGCCCCAGAAAGGAATTAAACAAACTGTTCATGCAGCATTATGATGGCCTCTCTGGCAGTTATTAGCTAGAACAGAGCTAGAGAGGCCACTAGACTGCAGAGCCAGCGTTAAGCATGTTCAGTTTCCCAAACATATTTCTTATACCTCCAATAAAAAACGTTAAGCTCTATATATTTCATATTTCGACAGCCCTACTTCCATAACTACAGTAGTATGTATTCTTGTTGAAATCAGCTGAAGCAGCGACAACCAGCTTTTTCTGTGACATACAAAATAAATAAAACAACCATTGTTGTAAAATTTCCAAATTAAAACAGGATATGGACAGAGTTGTTTCATTAAGTGGTGCAGGAGGCACTGATTGGCCAGCTTGTTTGCCAGTATCAACATCTGTTGTTCAGCTTTTCCTAATAATACTCATTTTGATCGTGTGTTTAGTATTCACGAAGTGCTTTACTTAAATCATGCAAAGATAATTATTAGGACAATATATAAAATACAATAAAATATAGGAGGAATATAAAAGCATTTCTAATGTGAATTGATTTTTCACAGAGTCAAAAATCTTTTTGAAGATGTATACACGATTATGTATGGTGCTGTTGCATATACAGCTTCTTTCTCTCTTCCTATCATACATCAGTGGAAGCCTTATAAATGCACACGATCCACACCTACCTCAAGGTAAGGTACAGGAGCAATAGATGGGAAGGGGTATTCCCTTAGCCGTCTCTCCTCATCCAGAAACTTGCCAGCCCTGCCGTTGTATGCCGGCTGGAATAGGCCATAGTTTAATACATCCTTCAGGCTCTGGTTGAGAGTACACAGGATTCGCTGCTTGGACAGCCAGATTGGAGCATCCACATTGAATTTTAAACACTTCTGCAGAGACAAGAGTAAAAAAAGGGAAGAAGGTTAACTTCACGCCATGTTTAAACATATCACATACTGCACTTAAGCGGAATTAGGAGACTGAGATGTAACATATAATAAGAACATATAACATTAAATATAAGGACCTGTTTCATCACAGAGACATACATTGGATGTCCAATATCATAAGAATAAGAAAATGCCAATTCACATACAGTACTGTACAAGAATCTTAAACCAAACCTGATTTCTTTCTACTTTTCTACTTTGCTCCCAAGAAGCCAAACTTACATATATATTGCATATATATAAGAGCTGATGAGAAAAGGTATAAAAAATGTAAATTGTATCTTTAGACACTTTGTTACTAGCAGCCTATCACAACCCCCCCCCCCCACATAATTTGTTCCCACTGTCTTAGTGAAATCAAGGAAAACATAGCACAGTTTGACATAAAATAGTATTTTTGCACCTACAAGGTGAAGTCCAAAACAGCTATTAGATGAAAACTTGACAAATCTCTTCATGGTGTGCAGTTTTCCTAAAACATGTGAGGAAACTGGACAAGTGGAGGACACAAGAAGTAGCCTAAAAAACTTTCTGCAGTAAAAGAACAAAATAGTATTTCAAAGTCATGTCCTTTAAAAAAATCCAGCAATGACCTGAAACACAAGATCTCAGAGATGCCTCATCAGAAAGAGTCTCAGTGGAAACGTGGCTGTCAGGAAGCCATGTCAGGAAGGGAGTGAACCAGGGAGAAAAGGTGTGCCAAGTTACACAAGAACTGGACTAAAATTTGGTGGCATCAGGCCTTTTGGATTTGTAAATACTAATGTAAAGTTTTGAATTCACACCACCATCAACAAATACAGAGGTTAGAAGGGACGGACAACACTGAATGTCTACAGTTATCTGTCACACATGGTGGAAGCTCTGTTATGGTTTGAAAGCTGCATTTCAGTGGTGTTGGAGATCTTGTCAAAATTGAACACAGAAAAATACCATCGGATTTGAATCCACCATGCAATACCATCTGGAAAGCAATGACGACTTTGATCCCAAACACTCAGCCAATGTAGTAAACGCATACCTGAACAGAAAAACACAACAGAGGAAGATTAGGTGTGGACTGACATCCCAAAAGCCTGGACCTAAACATTTCTGAAGTAGTGTGGGATCATCTTCAGTGAGAATGGAACAAAAGAAAGCCAACATCCAAAGAAGAGCTTTGAATGCAATTCAAGAAGCCTGGAGAACTATTCCTGAAGGCTACTCAAAAGAAACTACAGGAAAGCTTGCCTGATAGAGTTCAGGCTATGTGTGTACAGATGGCCATTGTATTGTATAAACCCAGTTTTGCCTTATGTATTGTATCTCCATATAGGTTTCTACCTTTCATTACATAATTGCACCCACCTCCCCATTTTCTCAACAAAATATAAAGGGTTGGCTCAAGATTTTGTGCAGTAATTTAAGTATAGTAATAGCTTCAGAATTACTTTTGAGACTTTTCTTCGAAAGGTCATCTTAACAGTCAGTGGTAGTTACCAGTAAATAAAACTAGAGAATAATAGGCAAATGCTCTCACAGAAAGCCTTTATTTTGCTGACATCAATTTTTCAGAAACTTCTGGTGTCACGCCTGAGGTAAAAGCCAGGTCTTTTAATATAATATGCAATTCACATAGGTATGGTGGCTTTTCACAGTTATATATTACTGTTCACCCTAAGAGCCTGTGGTAGTTAAAGTAAACAAAACTAAGCAGAATTTCTTACACATAAAGTCGACATCCATTTTTCAGCAACATAATGTTGTGTCAACACGTGAATGTGCATTATTTATTATTCTAGGAAAAATGAAGCAAGGAAGTATGTAACTGCTACACCAACAGCAGCAGGAGTTCTGTCTTTAGTCATAAATGCAAGAGTTCAAAGGTTCTGATGCCTGTGGGAAAGATGTGGAAAAACAATCCACTCTGCTGATTTCTGTGCTCTGATAAGCAACCGCATATATAAGCAATACATACTGTATACAGTGGAAATCTGCCTCTTAGGCATAAACTTCTGCTGTCTAAACAAAAAAAATATCTCAAAAATTGTAAACATCTGCCAACTGTTAATTAAAACTCAAATATTGGCTAGTTAACAGTATATGCAGTGCTATGCAACCAACTTCTCCAGTGTGCAAATGTGTATGGATATTGTGGCAGGTTCAAACACTTGCAGAGCCTAAGCTATAAATGGCACAGAGAGCAGAGAAAGTACCAAACCAATAAGTGATAAATCAATCATTCCTGCGTGCAATATAAACTCCAAACCTCAGCTCTAACCCATTCAGCATCACTGTATTTCTGACAGTGAGATGAAAATGTTAACAAACAATAAAATCTTCTAACAGCAACACATCACTAACAACAACCACACGTAAGTGTCAAAATGCAGAGGCATATTAGTTAATCTCTTTAATATTCTGAGTTTGGCAAAGTAATAAATGAGTCAAAAATGAAAGTGCAAACATTACAGTAGTTGCAGAAGCAAAGACACACGGTAATGCAAAATTCAGAGATATAGGAATCCTGGTTATAAAATATTAAACAACGTGTTTAATATTACTGAGTTATACCACGTTTTTCATGCATTGCTCCAAAGTTCAACTAAATCAGCTGAATCAAAATCACACGGGCTTTGATGGGACCTTATCATTCTACAGTCTTGGCCTGCATGATGTGCTCTGTGCTCAGCTCAACCAGCAGAATTGCAGAGGATGTGCCTGAACCAGAGGTATTACTGCTACAGACCATTTAACAGTTTAAGAATTGGCTTGTACCCAGTGTATAAGACTTTGTCACCTTAAGAAGTAACTGAAGAAAATATTTAAAAATGGCAAATTGCTATTGATAATGCTGTTGATTATTGAATTTAAATGGTAACCCTCAGTTACGTCAAGAGAATCAGATGAGAAAAATATTGGTTCTGTCTACCCTGAATTGATCTGTCCTACTTTATATACCAGGTGACCATATCAATGGTTTTTGAAGCCAGCAAGTCATGATATCATTTAACCAATTATTCTTAGGTTGATAATTGTTAATAGGTTATTTGGATTCCTTATTAAGATCTGTTAAATAAAGGTCTGGCTATATGAGGTCAATAAATAAAACTATTACTAAAATTTATATCCCTCTAGCTATCCAACAAGTTGTACTTTTTACTGTACCAATCAATCCAGCAATCCACAGCTAACCTGGGATTTCCAAGGAAAGAGGTCCCCTTTCAAATTCTCTACTATTTGGCTTTACTATGCGTTTTCTTCTTTCAAAACAGTCGGGATTTTACCATCAAGGTCTCTTTAGTTAATCTCTTTGGTATTGCTTTAAGGGGAATATTTGTTGGCAACTATTCATTTCATCATTAAATGTAAAGTTTAAAACAACGATTATAGTTATTTCTGTCACGATCCTTTGGTTTTTACATCCAGTGTAGACTCGCTCTTCTGTTTGATGTTTTCTGTTTGACTTTGTTGTGGTTTTGAGTTGAATATGATCTTTTCTTAGGTTGTGTTTTCATTTTGATTTTGCATCCATAGTTTTCTTTCTTGGTTATTCTTATGTTCTCCATGCCTAGTCGCTGTTTCTGTTATGTTTCCCATGTTTAGTTAGTTGTTGTCTTTGTCTTTACTTTGGTCTGTCAAGATCCATCTCAGTGGTTAGGCTTCCTGTTTTATTTTGATAATCTCTCATCTCATGTGCATTATATTCAGTTTTGTTTCCCCTCATGGTAGTTAATTCATTTTGTTCACCTGCACCTTGTTTTCACCAGCTGTGTGCCTGATTACCTCATGTGTATTTAAACCCTCGGTTCTCCTTAGTTTTTTGATGCATTGTACTGTTTGTCTGCATAAGCATTTTCCTTGTGTATTACCTGCTTTGGATTATTTTTGAACCCCACTTTCCTCAGTCATCTGGATTTGCTGCCTCACCTAAATAAAGGTATGTTTTTTGTTTCTTAAATCCTGTCCTGTTTTCTGCTTTTTTGGGTCCAGATTTTCCATAACCATGACAAAACAATGCAACCACACTGGACCCAGCAGGCATTGCAATAGCGCTAGGTGATGAGTTATGGGAGGAGTTCCAGAGATTTGTTAAAATTTCTAAATGAATTAGGACTCTACTGATGTTGGAGTCGAAGGCCCGTTACCACCAACCCTGGCCTCCAACCCAAGCTGCCAGAGGGTCTCTGCCTCTCCTCAGTCTCTGCCGCTGGCAACGGGGCAAACCTCGAGAAGTTCTTTGTCTCCTCCCATAACTCCACTGGCCATATGGCCAGCCTCCTGAGCCATTCCACAGGCGATGCTGGCCACATCCTGAACCGAGCTTTTGTGGCCGACTCAGTCTCCTGAACTGGTGCGTCACCACATGGCCAAGTCATGTTGGACTCAGAGACATTGTATGTTGGTTCTGTTTCAGGCTGTAATTTATTTTTCATCAAGAGCTTGGATTACTGAGGGGTTAAGATTAATTCCTGTTGGTATTAACTGAATTTTGCAAAGAAAGGCTCACACGGCTCTTTATTTGTTTTGAACAAAACCTCTAGGATTCGCCTGAGTCTGGGCACAATTATATCACTGATCAGAAGGAACAGTATTTCCATGCTGCACACTACCCCAACACAAAGGAATGACAACAAAAGTCTTCCCTAAAAACTGAAAGAAAGAGACATTTACTGCACTGCTTGAGTTGAGTTTTTTCTGATGTATTAAAAGAATAATAATAATAATAATAATAATACCATTTTAGACTGTGATAGGTATTCTATTATTGAACCAAATACAACCGAATATATCAGCCATAACAGCAACTTTGTTAAGGGTAAATTTAATATGCTAGAAAATCACTTTAGGGCCGCAGCTCGTATGCCAGTCTAGTATGTCAGGCTGACCTAAGTCTGCGGAGAGCTTCTAATAAAGCACAGTTCTACACACAAAGTTTGTATGAAGGCACATTGTATTAT